AACAACTCTGCAATTTGCAACATTCAGATGTTTCTATTTATCAATAATTAAGTGTAATTTTTGGTATTTTGACGTTGAATTATGGGGTTTCTTTACCTATTATGCCATGTTTGGTTCCCGGGAAAACAGGGTGAAAGTTCAGAATCTCTGTTCTGATCTTATTCTTGTCAGGAACCAAACCCCATGATGGAATATCCATTAACTGTACCAAATTTTCATTTCCCTGTTAATTCTCTGCAAATGGGTCTGGATTTCTGGGTCTAAATTAGTGTGTCAATTCTCAATTCCCTGTTTAGTTCTATGAAATTAGGCAACTTTTTTAAATGTGTGGTTTTTGTGGGTCTAAACTCTAAAGTGTTTCTTTTTTTGGATTACACAGGAGGGGATTATCAAACCACTATTCAGGGAAGTCAAAATCTTTTGCTAATCTATCTGATGTGAGCTTGAATACAGCCAAAGGTCTGGAAAAGACAGAGAGCCCATTCAACAAGAGGAGGAGAGTTTTGATTGCAAATAAATGGGCGAGGAAGTCATTCTACTCCTGGCAAAATCTCAAATCCATGCCCCTTCTCTCTTCTTTGAACGAAAACGATGAAGATGGAGAAGGAAAAGAGATCCAACCGTCATCACCACCCAAAAACAAAGATGAAGAGACAGCAAGAACAGAATTGCAGAAGAGCAAGCTGAAGCATACTTTGACTTTCAAGTCACATAGCTGCTTTTCTCTTGCTGATCAGCATGAAGAAGAACAAGATCAATAACAGCATAATGCTGCATTCAGTTGAGATTTTTTTTTTCCTTCTAATCTATCAATCCTGTTCTGTTTTGTCAAAAAAAAAAAAAAGAGAAAGGAAAATAATCTGTTGTATATAAACTATGAAGATGGTAGTAAGGATATGGATGTGCATTTTGATTGGAAGTTTGTTTGTTGAGCCTGTGTTCCGACTTCCAACACGAAGACGAAGCTGTTCTTGGCTTTTAGCCTTTAGGATATCGAGATTGTTTGGTTTCTAAATAGTGATTGGATCTAATTAAATGAATTAATTATTTTAAATTATAAATAATGTTTTTTAAATTTTATTTTAATAGTTTTAATTTAATTTTTTTAATTATATAAGTATAAAATTTAAATAAAAATTTAATATATTACTTATATATATATATGATCATTGTAAATTTTTTTAATAAAATAAAAATATTTAATAAAAATTTTATAGAGGGTAAGAATGTTTTTAATTATTATTTATATAAATTATTAAATTTTTATTTTAAATTTATGATTAGAAAATTAAAAAAATCAAATTAAATTAATTAAAAATAAACAAAATGATAATAATCATTAGTTATCAATTATTAAATTTAAATAATTAATCTAAATATGTTTAATATTAATAAGAGTCTAACAAAGTTGATATTCATTAATAATTTAAATTTTTTATTCAAGTACAAGATCAAGGGTCAATATTATCAAACAACTTACTTTTTTTTTTTCAGTCAAAAAATTACAAAAATATTGCTATCTACATTGTATACGGAGTAATTTCACTTTATTCTTTAATAAATACACCATTAAAAATTTAAATTTCAACTCTCAACGCTCTCTTCACCTACCTCTTTAATAGTAGTAGATAATTGTATTTATTAAAAGAACTTACAAAAAA